TATTGTATTAAATAGAAGTTGTAAAATTAGGTAGAAAACACTGTTTATATTTCTGCTATAAATGGCAGTAAAATCAATGAAAGAAAATGAGTTGCACCTCACCAAAAGGGGATCAGGGTGTCGCTTTCCTGCTCCAAGTCATCTTTTCACAATTCTAAACGAATCCCAGTTAAAGTTATTCTATAAGTAGAACGGCCTCAAGAACTGAAACGGAGAACCATAAGTTTTAAGTTTCAACTGTTTTCCTTGATTTTGTTCTTATCTCTTTCAAGATGATGTTTTTTGGTAGAGGGTCCCCTCAACTTGTCTGTGCACTTGTAATTTTACTGCATGCGGGAGGTGCTGTTGGATTCAATTCAACATCAGGAGCTGCTGGGGTTAGGTGCATAGAGAGGGAAAGACAAGCGCTTCTCATGTTTAAACAAAGTCTGGTTGATGAGCAAGATGTGCTTTCCACATGGGGAAGTGAAGAACGGAGGAAGGATTGTTGCAGCTGGACAGGAGTTAAATGTAGCAACAGAACTGGGCACGTAATTTGGCTTGATCTTCATGATAAATCTTTAAGTGGTACGCTGAGTCCTTCTCTGTTTAAATTGCAGTATTTAACTTATTTAAACCTCAGTTGGAATGATATTGGTTCTATCCGCATTCCAGAGTCAATTAGTTCACTCAAGCAATTAAAATATCTTGACCTTTCTGTTAATAGGTTAAGTGGATCGCTTCCTATTCTGCTAGGAAACCTCACAAGTTTGCGTTTCCTTGATCTTAGTTTTAACAAATTTTACAGTGTTGAAAATCTTGAGTGGCTCTCTCATCTTTCTCTTTTGAAATACCTTGATCTGAGTGGAATCGACCTTAGCAAGGTTAATAATTGGCTGCAGCTGGTTAATAAGCTTCCTCATCTAACCAACCTGCGGCTCAATTCTTGTAATCTTCTAGATGTCATTCCTCAACCTCTCCCCATGAACAATAGTTCTATTTCTCTTGCTGTCCTTGAGTTATATGATAATAACTTGACTGCTACAATGTTCCAATGGCTTTTCAACTTTAGCAATAGCCTTGTCCATCTCGGCCTATCTTACAATCAGTTACAAGGTTTGATTCCAGAAGCTTTTGGTAACATGATTTTCCTAGAAGAACTATATCTCTCGGATAATCAATTTGAAGGTGGGATTCAAAAATCCTTTGGCAACATGTGCAAATTAAGGCTTCTAGACCTGTCATCTAACAATCTCAAAGGAATGCTTCCTGATTTCTTGGGCAACTTGTCTGGATGTCTGGAACTTACCTTCGAGTCTTTGTACATACGAAATAACAAATTCATGGGACCTTTACCCAATGCAATTAGAAACTTTCCATCATTGAAGGTGTTGTCTCTTTCATACAATAGACTAAATGGGACTGTACCCAACTGGAGCGGACTCTTGTCCGAGCTTGAGGAATTTTATATCAGTGGTAATTCTTTTAATGGGGTGATCACTGAGGCACATTTCTCAAAGCTCTCCAAGTTAAAAGGGTTGTCACTGTCTTCTAATTTTTTAAGCTTCAACATTAGCCTGGACTGGATTCCACCTTTCCAGTTGGATGGCATATATCTCAGTTCTTGCAAGTTAGGTCCAAAATTTCCAAAATGGCTACAGACTCAAGGAAGCTTCTTGTATCTTGATCTCTCTAGTAACGAAATTTCAGATACCATTCCCGGTTGGTTTTGGACATTATCTCCTGGAGCGTATTCTATAAACATTTCTTGCAACCGCATCCATGGAATTCTACCATATTTTTCAATGAAGTTTTCTAGCTATTTTTGGATAGATTTGAGTCAAAATAAGTTGGAGGGTCCATTGCCACTATTCCCTGCTAATAGCACGTCATTATCACTCTCCAACAATGGATTTTCTGGGAAAATTTCTTCCCTCTGTTCTATAACTGGTAACATGTTTGCGTTACTTGATATTTCGTTCAATCAACTATCCGGAGAGCTTCCTGACTGCATGGCAAGTTGGTCAAAATTAGAGATTCTAAATTTGGGTCACAATCATTTATTTGGGAAAATTCCAATCTTTATTGGATCTCTTAAAATGCTTGAAACGTTGGTTTTGCGCAACAACAGCTTCTCTGGTGAAATACCTTGGTCTTTAGGAGACTGCAATCACTTGCAATTTGTGGACATGAGTCATAATAATTTCTCAGGACCACTGCCAGGCTGGATTGGAGAAAGATTGGTCAACCTAACCTACCTTCTCCTTGGATCCAATAATTTCTACGGAGATATCCCCTTACGCCTATGCCAATTGACAAAAATTATGGTGCTGGACTTCTCTAACAACACACTCTGTGGAAACATACCATGGTGCATTGATAATATGACTGCCTTGACCAAAAAGGAGAATTTGGTCGATGATCATTGGTATGTTCTTTATTTGGGAAATAATGTCCGTCGTGGTGCTGCCTATGTTGATAAAGCATATATTGTGTGGAAAGGAACAGAATATGAATTTGCAGAAAATCTGAAGATTCTGAGGCTCATTGACCTTTCAAGCAACAATTTAACTGGAGAAATTCCACAGCAGATATGGAGTCTCTTTGAACTGGTGCAATTGAATTTATCAAGAAATCAATTAACGGGAAGGATTCCAGCAGATATAGGACAAATGAGAAGCTTAGAATCACTTGATCTATCACGAAACCAGCTTTCAGGCCGGCTTCCTTCAAGCATGTCTCAGTTAAGTTTTCTCAGTGCCTTGAACTTGTCAAATAACAACTTTTATGGGAGAATTCCATTAGGCACCCAATTGCAGACCTTTTCTCCTTATGCATTTGCTGGTAATTCTGCACTATGTGGGCCTCCGCTAACACCAACATGCCCAGAAGATGAGAAACCTTCGGCTGGTTGTGGTAGAGATATCCAAGATGATGGGGACGAATTCTGGAAAGGGTTTAAACCCAGCATGGAACTCGGAATGGCTTTTGGGTTTTTGGGAGTATTGGCTTTAAAGTTGGATCATCCATGGAAACATGTCTGCATATTGCTATTCAACTACATGAAGATCCCCCTCAACAACTTGAAGGGCTACCTCTATTTGATTGTCGCAGCACTTGGTTTAGTAGTAACGGTGAATGCTACCAGATTGCGAAGAAAGTTTAGGTTTTAGGACCCATCACTCTTTCTGTAGCGTGTAGAGAAGTGGGTATGTATTATGTTTGTTTATGCCATCTTGTTGATTAAAAGCATTACTTCATTGAATAACAAATCCGCCTCTGACCGTTGTTTTCAGGTTCAAAATGTTTGTTAAGGCTTCAGCCTTCAAGGATTCAACTTCTCTGGTGATGTGAAATTCCAGCGTGTCTTTTCAACCCTCATAAGATTCCACATTTGGCTTCCTTTCCAAGCAGTAGTGTAAATTTTTTTTTTTTGTTTTTTATGTATATGCTCTGTTATGTTGTGGTCTGAAACTCTGAATGGATGGTTTATGTCTTGTGTTGTATTAGCTTTCATCCACATTTGTGTTGGATGGTTTGTGTTGGTTTCCTTAAGGGCAATATTTTTCAATAAAAACAGCTACGCAACTCACTCAGTTATTAAACTAATCCTTTCTTTTACATTTTAGTATTAGTCGTACAATACCATACCCTTCTTCACTTGTTTTCATATTTGAATTTGAGACTTCTAATATGGAAACCCTGTAGAAACAGAAATTTGTGTTAGTACAAAGTTCCATTAAGTAAACTAAGACCTAAAATTTAAGTTAAAATCAGTCCATGATTCCTTATAACCAGTGAACTTAAGTCATAAAAGCTCAGACACATAACTATAACTCACAAATAGACAATTAAAATACAGTCAAATTTTCAATTGAAATACAGTTCCTTTTGACCAGCCAAAAATAACCATTTAAAACGCAAAATCCACAGCAAATAAACTCATTTAAACTAAAATCTACCGATAACAAACAAGTTTCAATCAACCACTTCAAGCTAATTTTGTTAAGTAAAGCAAAACTCAAAATCATTTAAAAGATCTGGATGATAACACTGTGACAATAAATTTCAGCTTAATACTAAATCAGATCCTGTTGAAGACAACCATTGTGTTTCAGGACCTATATTGGCACAGACTGAAAGTCACCGAATGCCTAAAATCAAAACTAACTTGAAAAAGGAGGGATGAGAATGACTCAGCAAGCATGGACACACAAAGACATGCAAACCATAGTGGAGGACACATTCAACTGCAATATGTCTGTTTGAAATCTTAAATATAGAAAACATTTGAAAGAGTGAAAAAGTTGCAACTCATTGAAAAATCTTAAAAAATTCCAAAAACTGCGAATCTGTAAATTATAACCAAAAAAAAAAAAAAAAAAAAAAAAAAAAAAAAAAAAAAAGAGCAATTAAAGCAACAGTAACGATTCTAAAAATTCATGTCAAACAATAAGAAACAAAAAAAAAAAGGATGGCGAATCAAAATTACCACAATTCCGAGCGCCAGAGAGAGAAGGATGAGATTTCGAAGAGAGGAAGTATCGAAGAAGAGGGTGTTTTGGCCGTCGGACTTCGGAGGCTGCAAAGAGGAAGTTGAGGGGCTTTTGGACCGTTGGTATTAATTAATGAATTGCTAAAAATGTGGTTGTGATGTGTAAAATGGGTCGTAATGGGAAAAATCCATTTAGACCGATGCGAGTTGGATCGAATTTCCCAATTTGGATGGAGTTGAGCTGCTCAACTTGGGCCAAGACCTAGGCTGCGTAGCTTCGTCGGTGTAGCATTCTTATATTGGTATTAATTATAATATATTTGCAAAAAACTACATGTAAATTAATTTTAATTTATTAAATATTAAAAATCAAAATTTGTTTTAATTATTAACTATTTTTAATGACTAAATTAATAAAATATTAATTAAAATTGTGTCGCCTTTTGCCTGTGCGAGTCATAACGCAGCTACACGTTTAGTAACAGACAACCTACTCCACAAGGCAAAACGAGACACAAGCCAACAGCGGAGAATCACAGAAGAGAATTAACGTTTTTCTACTGGAATATACAAAAGTGCAGTTAATTACCGCGTCAATAATTTCTGGTCTTTTTTGGCTTTAATTTCTCATCCTTCATCTTTAATTAGCCTCTATTTCAGAACTTAATAAGCTTAATTATATCTCTGTGTCGATGCTCAAAACTCTATAAG